GTTAGCTCGCTAATAGAGATGAGTGTCCTCTCTTATCTCTGTGCTTGGTCGACGCTACGTATAGACTCGACACGCTAGCTAGCTAGTAAGCAAATAAAGGAAACCATTAAGTACAGAAGATCATCATGAACATATACACAGAGAGAAGTGTTTGACCTCTCCTTCTCTGATAGATTGGTCGAACAACAAATTTTCATATATCTATCCGACGCTACAATATAATATCTCTACTCCCCTAACATCTGAACTCAACTTCCACATGGTATTCTCCGTGTTTGACGTGGTCAAGAAATAATCCCGCCAATTCCTCTTGAATTGCTTGTATGTGATCTTATGGTAGGAGTTCATCTCGCATCTGCCACATCTAATTTCAAGAAGGGGGTCAATACATATATATGAATGAAACTGAACACAAATGATGGTAACAAAATAAAATTGTGAATATTATTGCTTACGTACTTCATATTGTTGTTTAGAGTAGCCCCGCTCACAGGTGGTGTGGTGGATGAACTCGCAGATGTAGTATCCACACAAATCATTCCCACGTTCATGCCACAACCACTTTACAAGAAATAGAGGTCAATTAAACTGATAAGCAAGCATGGTAAATTGTATTGATGAAAACAGCTAGAATCAATGGGAGATGCGCGGAACTAGATAGTAGCTAGTACTTACATTCGGGTGGTCAAATCGCAGTTGCGTCGGCAGTCCCGGAGCTTGTGCGGTGAACTTTTTCCAAACCCTGCCAGAGAAAGAAAACAATTACTTGATATCAGGAAATGAACAAAGTTGCCGATATGGTGCGATAATGATCGATTGAACTTACTTCTCGAGCATTTTAGTCATGGTCGCATACTCCTCCGGATTTTTTCGTTTGGAGTCTATGACGGTTACTAGTCCCTGCTCAAGCTTAATCTCTAGTAAAATAAAGTGGAATCTGCGCATGCATGCATAACTCATCAATTACATTACTATAACCTCGAGTAATAAGGGAAACCGAATATGCAGAAGACAGTACCACTCACTTGTATTCGTAAGGAAAGAGTATTGTAACTTTGTTTTGATTTCGAAGTAATGATGCGAGCAACTTGGCCTCGGTTTCTCTGGCATCATGTTTAACACTCCATTCATCCATGAGATTTGTGTTAATGAACCCAATATCACCTACTTGTCTTTTTTTCAATTTGGCGATCTTCAATCTGCATAATATAGTGAGGATAATTATATATACATGCAATGAAAGAGTTGAGCTATATATAGAGACTTAACTAATTACAGATAAGTAGTACTTACAGATAGTAGCAAGTGATGATTGTTTTATCGAGGCCTTTTGATTGAAAAACTGGAAGAACTCCTCGTATGGAACTAACAACACATCAATTCCTCATGCTCCTCTTTAACCGATAGCGACAAAGTATTTTTCCCAGACTTCCTACAGCTGTCCATGTACCAATCATGGAATCTTCGCATCATCGTTGTTAGGGAAGTACCAGGTCTTACGAGAGGCTTCCCGTGCTCGAATCTTAATGTGTCCACCTCCATTGTTCCAAAAATTATTGCATCCTCGTCGGTCATGTAATCTACAGGATTGGTACCAGGCAGCACCCCCGGAAGATTAGCGACGATATAGCTAGACACATTGAGCGGGGGGCACGATTGCTTCGCTTGTTCGCCGAGCTGGGGAATTTGTTTCCCTTTTCTTCGTTCTGCTAGCCTCCCACCTCTGGCTGTACTGCTA